AAATATTGGTGCTGCTGGAGCCAGTTAGATTTCTGTGGTGTAACTTAAATCCAGTATTGAAGGCAGCCTCGTTGCTCAGTTTTATGAGTGTTTTAAAAGCCCATAAATTATTATGAAAATGGATCAGAATTAACCTCTTTTGGGATTGTTTAAAGGTAGCAAAGGATTAATAGGAGCCTCAAACATGATTTCTTTAATTCTTTTTTTTTTACTACATTCTTCTGTGTTTATGTGCTCCTGGGTTTAAGTCCTTCCCAGTCTGATTCTTAAAATCAGAAAAATTGATAAAAGGAAAAGTTAAAATTGTTAATAAGGAAAAGATTTTGTGGGTTTTTTTAACTGAAGAAAAATTTAAAGAAGCCCATTCTAGAAAAAAAAAGTACATGGACAATGTATAAAAGGATATAAAATTGTGAACCTGTTGTGTTTGGGTTTTTTTTTAATGTATTATTAGACTGTACTATGTGTTATTAGACTTAGGGGGATGGGGTGAGGGGCAAGTGCGGTCAGTGTAAATGAGCTGGGCAGTGTCAGGATCTTCTGAATCCTCTTGTAGTATTGCTCTGTAATAACAAAAATGTATTTGTCATTCCCAATGATTACTAATTAATGGAATAAGGTTTTATCCTTCTGGCCTTGTTCTGATGCATTATCAGCTCCAAAAGCCTTGGTTTTCCTTGGGGGTGTGATGTGTTTAATCCTAGCTGAGCAGGAGAAGTCCCTCGCAGTGGTGGGAGGCTGGTGAGCAGCCCTCTGGGCAGGTGTGGTGGCCTTCAGCTCACATCATGGCTACCAGAGCTGAGCTGCCCTGCTGGTAGGATGCTTCTGTGGGTGTGTCACTATGGGCTGTATTAACTAGCATAAAACACACCTTGTTCTACTTTGTGTCAGCCCCACAGCAGAGAGGAGTGTCCCGTGTGCGGCTGTGTTTGAGTAGTTCTTGGCGAGCAGAGCAGCTCTTGAAGGCTGAGCCAACTGGCAGAGTTTGCAGAAGTTCTGGGGCTCCTGTCAATTATTCTATGGTGACACAGACGTGGCTGAGCCTGGGGAGGACACAGGTGGCTCCCCAGAATGTCTGTCCCCAATTCCTGGGGTGCTGCTGAAGGGGCCAACCCTGCTGTGCTGCACAAGCCTTTAGAAAACGTGCAGTGGGGATGTGCTGGCCAATGCGGGTCCCTGGGAAAACTCTGATCCCTCCCTATCCAGAAGTGCCTGTAAATGGCTTTTGTTGTCTCCAGGAAAGCACAGCCTTGGAGCTCCAATCCCCACCTGGATTACAGTAGTTTAAGTGTATGAGTATGTGTTTGAAGGGGCAAGCTGCCATATTTATGAATCTCCATCCCTTAAGTTGTTGGTTCATTGTGACATTGATTCTCGTTTGATGCCTTTTGCACTCACCATTCCTGCAGTCCCGGTGTTTTGAGTACTAAACCTGCCCTTTACTGTGCTGCCATTGCTGCTTGTGCTCTCTCACTCCTGATCCTCCATAAAGCTCCTTTATTTTGATGATCCTGTGTGGCCTTCCTGCATTTTACAGCTGTGGCCTCTCTTTGTTACCTTTGTTCATGTGTGAATTCATATCCTTTCAAACATTTAGCATCCTTTTTATTATATATTCTTTTTAATGTAATGATCCTGACAACTCTGGTTCCAGTTCATCTGAAACAAAAAAAATACACCCCCAAAAAAACCCCAAAATCCATGTAATTTTGATTTTCTTTCGTTGTTGTGTGGTTTTTTTTCAAATGCAGATTGTCTTTTCATAGAGTTGCGTTCCAGTTCACTCAGCTTGGTTTGTTAAAACTGCAGTATTGGTTTTGCTGAGTATAACTTGGACTGGCTCTTGGTCTAGAGACCAAAAATTGTACCTAACCTCATATTCAATTTGTAAAGCCTGAATTCCACATCTTTGCACACAAGAAATATATTGTATGTATGTACAATATTTAATGTTGTTCACATATATACATATATTGTATTTATAGAGATAAATGGCTGGAAACTCTGACCCATAATTGCATTTCTGTTGAATGTTTGTCTAGAGTATGGATTTGGTTTCATTTATGTGAAATAATATTAGCTGAGCAATTGGTCACATTTAATCTTCTAGTCAAATAACTTCTGAATTTAATATTTTTTAAGACTTTTTTCAATACCAAGTGTTTCTGCTTTTGTGGTTTTTACTGACTATCAGTAAATACTTTCAGCATACTTTCTAATCACTTAAATCTGTAATAAATGTGTTCTTAAAGCTTTTTGACAGGCTATTTTTTTTTAACCCAGAGGAAACTTGACCCAGTCTCAAGCCTGGAATCAAAGAGCATTTTTTTTCCTAAGTAATGCAAATCAAATCCAAATTCTTAAATTTGAAGCCTATACAGATGTAGCCCTTGGTAGCTACTTCATGAATCCTCCCCAAATTCTGAATTTGACACCCACCAACTTGTTAGCACTGTATGAAATGAGACCGAATGCTAATCTGTGCTTTGCCTTGGCTTTCTGCTCTGTGTTGTCTTGGTGTTTGCGTCCTACCTCTTACGTCTGTGCTGTTTGTTCCCTCCCCTGTTCTCTAATCCTGCCCTCCCCTCCCTGTTCCTCCTCATTGTCCACACTGACCCATCAATCAACCAACAACAATCCCCCCTTCGTCGTGGTGATCTGCCCTGCTCTGGTTGGTGGCTCCGTGCTTGGGTGGCTGTGTGTTGTGCTGGACCAGTTCACCCAAATATGGCCTTCTTGCTGACAGGTATCACTTCTGTGAGAAGTGTTTCACTGAAATCCAGGGGGAGAATGTCACCCTGGGTGATGACCCTTCCCAGCCTCAAACGTAAGTCACTTCCTTTCTTATTTATTTTTTTTTTTAATGGTGGGATGTGTAGGCCTGATTTGATAGTAAAAACCTGTGGCCAGTGATAGTGGGGAGAAAGCAACTTCCTTACTAAGAGGAGATGTTTGCAGTAACAGATTATTAACAGTTGTGGCTCTGTGGGATCTCTCAGACTGCCCAACAATGTCACTTTTGTCCCTTTGCACTACTCAAGAACTGCTCCATAGTTGGGAGCAGGGGGGGCAGACACTGGGCAGTGTGATTGGCTGGAGAGGGAAGGATGGAAGCTGGGTCAGTAAGTGTCACTAATCCATTATCTTGTCAAATAGACTTTGGCTAATCCTGGTATCTGACCTTTTGAAGCACAGCTTTTCTTTATGAAACCAAGGGTTTGCCTTTAACCTGGCCAGAAAACAAGATGCTTTAAGATGCCCCATCTCTGGAAATGTTCAAGGGCAGGTTGGATGGGGCTTGGAGCAACCTGGGCTGGTGGGAGGTGTCCCTGCCCATGCAGGGGGTTGGATCTAGATGATCTTGAAGGTACCTTTCAACCCAAACCAGTCTGGGATTCTATGTGAATGAATACAAGCTGCTTTGGAAGGTGGCTGCTCTGCTGACAATAACTTCCATCTTCTACATGTTTTAAATTTACCTATGCATTTGGGTATCTCTTATTTTCTGTATCTTAAAATAAAATGAACTGAATTGCTTTCTCTGAATAGAAAATAAATACTGCTATGCTTTCTTCAGGCTTGAGGTTTGCTTGTTTGCTGCAATTCAGAAAAGCATGATATTATCTCAGTCTTGGATATAAATGTACTGCTGAGTTTTCTTATTAACTCTTTGTCTCTAGAACCATCTCTAAGGATCAGTTTGAAAAGAAGAAGAATGATACACTAGATCCAGAGCCGTAAGTACCAGGCTGTTGGTTTTGTTGAGATAATCTGGTTGCTTTCACTTGCCCTTTAGCCAGCACTTCAGAAACCAGGCAGAGAATAAAGTAGTCTTCCTTTTCTTTTTTTTGTTTTCCCCCCATCTCTGCCCAAACAGGCTGCAGAATCTTTCTCTAAAGTTCCTAGCACAACACAGAAACCTGATGTCTACCACTGATATCCAAGAGGAAAATGTGAGCCTATTTTAATGGCAGTTTCTAGCCCTGTTTATTTGGGTAGTTCCTAAGGTGTGTTCTGCAAGGCAGAAAATGGCCCTCCCTTGTACAGAGCCTTTCACACCCACCCTGAGTGCATGTGGGAGTTCTGTGTTTTCCTCTTCTGGTTTAACTAGACTGCTTAAACACATTTTTCTCTTCAAATGAGTGCTTAGCTCACAGAAGGAGGGGAGGAATCCTCCTTCCTGTGTCTGTTACCCTTAGGAAGTTCAGTAAAAGCCCAGGTGAACGTGTCTTTAGTAGCACTGAGCTGCCTTTCCTGCTGTCCTTAAGTAGCTGAAACAAGACTTATCTTACCTGCTGCTTTGTTCTTTGGCAGTTTGCATTTAAATTCCCATTCTCGTCTTTGCAAATACTAAATAGAGCTTGTCCCCCAGACCTCTCAAGCTCAGCTGCTGAGATGAACCCCAATGCATTTGTCTCCATAACCAACATTACAGTCTTGACTGGGAAAAGCTCTTATAATTTTCCCATTCAAAAAAAGAATTCTGACACATTGTTTTTTTTAAAAAAAAGACTACAGAGACCCATGCAGGTGAAGACAGGCTAATACATGTTTTCTTGGCACAGTGATTCATGAATGACTAGTTTTTACATTTACAGCAAGTTGAGCAACCATTTAGTCACCTTGTGGTTGTTGCAACAATTGAAAACTAAATCCATGGAGGTTTTGTTGAGCAGGATTCTGTGAAGCTGGGAAAACTCAGAACTCTTCTTGGAAAAGGATAGAAAGGATCCAGAAAAAGTTGTGCTTGAAAAGCCCATTTCACATTTTTTGAAGTCGTACATTCTACAGTTTTTAATGTGTGTTTGTCTTATTTGCACATGGCACTGATAGATGTATATCTGAAGCTGTTCCCATGAGGTGGGTGGGTTTTTCTAAGCTGACACATCAACTGGGGCTGTTGAAGTTGATTCAGGTCTTAGCAGAGGGATGGCAAGTCCTTCTTTCTTGCTGAATTCTGGATAATGACTTTCCTAACAACAAAAGTAATTGGCTGTTTTATCTTCTCAGGTTTGTTGACTGCAAAGAGTGTGGTCGGAAGATGCACCAGATTTGTGTATTACATTATGATATTATTTGGCCTTCAGGGTAAGATGTTTGTTAGTTTCTTTACCCCTTGTACAAAAAGCCCAGTGTAGTTTGGATAATTAAGACTTTCTGCCTTTGCTCTTGAATATGCAGTCACTGCCTCTTTGAACTGAGTACAAAAGGACAGAGCCTTTCTAAATAAAATCCTTTTATTTTGGTGTTTGGGGTCTCATTTTATTCAGATGAAAATGTGCATGAAACCAACTTGTTCATGTACCCAGATTTCTATGGTTTCTTTCTAAATACTAAACAATGGAAGGTGGTTGGAGGTAGATTTGCACACTACCAAAAACAAATGCAGATGTAATGGTTTGGCAGAATTAAACCAGCTCATAAAGGCCTTAAGTCCTTCAAAAATGGAGAAATACAAGCTATTCAAACCCAGAGAAAAATCTATTGCACTCCAATATCTAAAGTACAGGTTCAAACATGGGGCTGAAGGCAGCCAATAGTGAGGTTTATGCTAAGTTTTTGGCAATTTTTTTTTTTCCTCTGTAGGTTTGTTTGTGACAATTGTCTGAAGAAAACTGGTAGAACGCGCAAAGAAAACAAGTTCAGTGCTAAAAGTGAGTTGGATGTTTCTATCATCAATGTTCATCTTCTCCCTGCCACCCCTAATAGCTTTTTGATTGAGACTTTCTGGTTTTATCATGGACAGCACAGAAGCATTTGCAAAACAGGGATCATTGTAGCCCAAGGCTTTGGTAGCTGTCAGAGTTTTAATAATTTTAAAGACCTTCTCTGGATGTCTTTGTGATCAGTTTAATGCTGCTTGAGGTACTGGGCATCTATGTCCTTATTTTTCTCAGATTTATTTTTTTTTTAACAAGGGGGGAATAGAACAGGAGAAACTGTTCTAAAATATGGCTGCAAGCACTTTACTGGCTGTATTTAGACATGTTTCCATGTAGGATTGAAACGGAAGTAAATAACTCACCTGGGCCCTTCCAATAATATATAGTAAGAAGTTATGCTGCATGTACTGGGATACTGTGTCCAGCTCTGGAGCCCCCAACATAAGACGGACATGTAGCTGTTGGAAAGGGTCCAGAGAAGGGCCATGGAGATGATCAGAGGCTGGAGCAGCTCTGCTCTGGAGACAGGCTGGGAGAGTTGGAGTGTTCAGCCTGGAGAAGAGAAGGCTCCAGGGAGACCTTAGAGCACCTTCCAGGGCCTGAAGGGGCTCCAGGAAAGCTGGGGAGGGGCTTTTCACCAGAGAGGACAGTGACAGTTCAAGGGGGAATGTTTTTTAACTGAAAGAGGGGAGATTAGGTTAGGTATTAGGAAGAATTTTTTCACTGTGAGGGTGGTGAGAGCCTGCCCAGGTTGCCCAGGGAAGCTGTGGCTGCCCCATCCCTGACAGTGTCGAAGGGCAGGTTGGAGGGGTCTCGGAGCAGCCTGGGCTGGTGGGAAGTGTCCCTGCCCATGCAGGGGGTTGGAACTGGATGACCCTTAAGATCTCTTCCAACCCAAACCATTCCATGATTCTGTTATTTCAGCTGTACTCTGGTCGTGCCAAGTACTTCTGTATTTCAAAAGCTTTTCTTGCTTCTAGAGTGAACTCTGGTGTAAGAACTGTCCACTGGGATGTGTAAGCACTTGTGCTTCCAAGATGTTCTTGGAAGTAACCATGGTCATCATCTTGTTGAAATGTGCACGAAAAGGAGTGCCAAAAGCTGCCAGGTCAAGTTGTCCCAGTCTGCTCAGCAGTCCTTACACAGACATTTTTTGCAGGCATCTAACTGCAGAGAACATAATTTGGTCACTTTTATTCATACGTTTTTAAGGGGGTGAAGAGTAATGCAGTGTCAGTGAAATAGAGTGGAGAAATAAAGTGAGTGTAGAAACCAAGAGGGTGACTGAGACACTGGAATAACTAGGGCTTGTAGGTACACTTGGTTTCTCCCTTGTTCTTCTCTGGTCTTTGGAAGTTCTGGGCATTACCTTGTCATACTGTGACTTTGCAAGCCTCAATCTTCCAGATTGCAATAAAGAGGTGGTTAAGCATTAAATGCAAGTTCTTGATAACTTCATGTCTGGTTGGTTTCATAACCACAGAGTTGGAAGGGGATGATTTGGAGATGATAATGCTGTGTGAGACATTAGGTTTCAATAATCAAAATGGTCTCTGGAGTAACCTGACACATGCCAGATAGTGTTGTTAAAAAGTTGAAAATTAGTCTCATTAAAGATAGATTAAGATTGTAAGGGAACATTAGTAAAATGATTAAATAAAGAAGTGGGTTTAGATAACCATTTTAAGTAGATGTCTCTTCTCCTACCTGCTGACTTTACAGCCTATATTGATGTAAATTAGCTGAAATATGTATGTGATTCCTTGCTGCAGTTGTTCTGTGTTACTGCTTCAGGCTTCAGTAACCAGCCATTTAGTTCAGGGTAACCATTCTATTCTTTGGGGATCTGGACAGGGTGCTTTTTTTCCTTTCCATTGATTAACTTTTCTTTCTCTTTTCCCTGCTGTTTGCCTATCTTGCTTGTTTTTTTCCTGTGATGTTTTGAGTCCACTGGTGGGCTCAGCTCTTGCCATCAATTTTCTTCAACAGTTGCTCTAGTGGAAACACAAGCACAGGGAAGAAAAACCTGCTCTCGTTGTCATAAACCTTGATCTTCCTACTTGACCTATAACCAAACATGAGCAATGAAGGTTTGAAAGATTAACATGTTTCCTCTCCACCTCCCTTCCCATAAGAACCTTTACTCATCAGTATTTCCATGCTTTCTGAAGCAAACTGGCCCAACTGCTGGTAGTAAAGAGAGCAAGTCCCTCAGCTACAACCTCTTGCTTAGCTCTTACGGCGACATCCATATTGCCAATGTATATTGAGTAAAATTAGCTATCTTACCCACAACAGAGGTAAACCGACTGACAGCATACCAAATAGAACCCAAAAACCAGTGTAGACCTGCATGATGCTGGGAAATGCCCAACTTTGGAAGTATTTTTCTCACTAAGAAAATCTGCAAATACTACTTAACCAGCAGCTGATGCAGAGATGTTCAAAGACCAAAGACATCCTGACAAATAACTCACTGAAAGGGGTTTCCTGACAAAAGTCAGAGCAAGCCAGAAGTCTGACTTTCTTCCTATCTGCCTCATTCCTCATCCAGTAACACGTGTCTGGCCACTGCTGCTGCAGTAAAACCTCTGTCCTCAAGCAGCCTGAAAGCCTTTTGTGGCCTTAACCAGTTTAGATGCCTTTTTTCAAGTTGACACTGAAGTTTTCATTGAGACCTGAACTCTTACTGGAAGTACATCTATTTAAGTGTCCAAGAACCAAAATCAGGTTGTTTTCTAAAAGAATTTTCCCATTCTAATAGATCGAAATATGCAGCTTTTAGATTCTTTCCTTACAGTGCACGTGACTTTAATGCTGCCTGTTTCTTTTGTCTTCTTATCTGGTAGTGTGTGTTTGTTTGTTTCTCAAAGCTTTATGCATTGCAGCATAAGGAAGGAAGCAGATATCCTTTGGTTGCTTAGCATTGGAAAGATGATAAAATGAAAAGGCAAGACAGCAGTTCACTAAAATGGCTTTCTAAAAATGTGCCAACTCATTAGCTGAAATTGAGCCATTTCTTCTTTTCTGTTTGTCTTCAGAGGAATCAACGAAACAATAAGATCTTCAGAAATGATTTGTGACTTTTCTTGACATTTCTTTGAATTTCTTTTCAAATCACCCACCTCCTATTCTCTAGGGAGAGCCCAATATATTGTGTCAGGCTGGGAAACACTGGGAAAGGCCAGTGTTTTGGAATTGGTGATAGGATTTTGTGATTTTTTACTTTAACCTGTCTTTAAATGTAATTACTGCCACCTGGGTAACTGATGTTTAGACTGTGTTGTGCTGGTTATAGCCACAAAATCTCACTGGACAAGGGACCAGGCTACAAGATGTAAAACAAGGTTGCTGAGTTTGACAATTTCTATACATTTATTGTAAAGTAAAACGTTAAGTATATAAATTCCTTAGGAAGTGAGACTTTGCGTTGAGCATATGTGGCTTTTTTCCTCAGTATTGGTGGATAAAACCATTTTGAGCCTAGATATTTCACTGCAGCATTTTGTGTGCAAGATCAGGAATCAGGAAGAAGAGCCACCAGCCTTGTGTCAGTAGCCAGCTGAAAAAGGAAGCAATGGAGAGCAGAAAATTAAATGCATTTTGGTAAAAAGAATGTCTGTAGATTGCTTTGGAGTATTCTGCATTGGAAAATATAGCAAGTTGACCATAAAAAAAAAGTAGAAATACCAGCTGGTAAAATAAGTACAGCAAGATAAGAGAAATAGTCATAAATCTTCAAGTCAAACCAGTGAACTACTTCTGTTTTCTTAATTTAAACCAAAGTCTTCGTTTTAATTTCTGTCGTTTGTTGTGGATTTATTTGAACACCACATCCTGTAATACTTGAGAAACAGCTGTTTCCACAAAAGCTAATTGTACATGTCAAGAGCAAGAGAGGAGCTCTGGACAATAGGTGGACTTGAACTTTTCAAGACCTCTATCACCGTGGAAGAACTATTTAAGCTTTATGTGCAGATTACTGTAACTGTTCAATCTAAAAGCTCTCTTGAAAAGAAAAAGCAATGAAATCTCCACTGAAGTTAAAAGGCTTTTCATTTCTGTTGATTTGCTTTGCTTTGCTTTGCTTGAAAAGGTGTGGCATTGAGCCAGATCTATAAAGTGATGTAATCTCTGTCCAGAAGCCAGATAGTGGTTTTGTGAGGAGAAAACATTTGCAAGGTTCATATAATAAGCCTGCGAATTTCAAAATGCTGTGTAAAGCTGCCTTTGTTAGGTCACTTCATAAGTAATTTTCCTACTGTGGTGGTTTTAACTTCCATATTAGGATGTGAACACTTAAGGCTTGGGTGAAAACGTGGATGGTTTTGCTGTGTTAATTTTGGCTGTATAAACAGAATCATCAAATTTTCGTAGGGAGTTAAAACGAAGGGGGGGAAAAAGCTTGTTCTGTGCAGAGCACTAAGCTGAAGGACCTCACAAGCATGGGAACATCATAGTGATTTCTCCAGTACTAACATTTCCATTGTCATCTTCTCTCCCTTCCTTTCTAGGGCTGCAGACCACACGTTTAGGAAACCATTTGGAAGACAGAGTAAACAAATTTTTACGGCGACAGAACCATCCTGAAGCTGGAGAGGTCTTTGTCAGAGTAGTAGCAAGTTCAGATAAGACAGTAGAAGTTAAACCAGGAATGAAATCCAGGTTTGTTCCTTTCATTACAAGAAATGTTTTGTCTTACTATTCTTTTGGAGTTTCCCTGCATAAATGTTGCAAACTCTGCTGATTTTTCACATTAATCCCTTTGCATGTTTTTGAAATTGAGGCATGAGTAAGATTATGAAAGGTTAAAAAAAAAAATCAGAGTGCTGTGAAGGAGCTCAGAGAAGGTGATCATAGTATTTTGACTACTTATTACTACATCTTGAGAGAGAGTCTGACCACATTGTGGTTAGCGTGACAGAATTGATAGTTGAGTTTGGAATAGTTGCTGAGATTCTTTTCCTTCCTGTTCCTTCATTTTGTTGTGTTTTTAGAAATGCTTTAGCTTTCAGAAGTGACTTTTCATTTCCTTCATCATAAATGAAAAGCTTTAAATCTTTATTTTGTAAGTATTTTGGCTTTACTTCGTAAGGAGAGTGGTTTGGGGACATCACTTCATCATAACGCGTCAGGTTTCTGCTCTGCAACCTATTTAAGGGCCTGTGGTTCCTCAGGATGCTCCTCTACTCAGAGCTGCCCTGTTCAGTCATATGGGAAGTGCATGGGAACTGTCTCTCCATGAGTTCTACTGTAACAGATTTCCCTGCTCTGATCTGACCCTGTTTAACTTCAGCAGAAATGTTTCTAATGAGTTAAAAACAAGGTTGAAAGGAATTTCCTCATTCTGCTGGTTTAATCATTGGCTTTTTGTTGTTGTTTTTTTTTTCCCCTCCTACCACCCTTTCCTTCAGATTTGTGGATTCTGGTGAGATGTCAGAATCTTTCCCTTACCGTACCAAAGCTCTGTTTGCCTTTGAGGAGATAGATGGAGTAGATGTGTGCTTCTTTGGGATGCATGTCCAGGAATATGGCTCAGATTGCCCCCCTCCAAACACCAGGTACCCTCGCATTTCTGTTCCAGCACGTCCTGCTGCATTCACTGAACTCTTCACTCTTAT